TGAGGGAAGATAACCCCGACTCCTTCGCTAAAAACAGGAAGGTTGACCATCTCAATGGTCATGGTGGGTCTATTCCTACCAAGCAGCCAGCAGTTAGCCCCAACCATTTCCTCCACCAGATCCTAGCCTCTGGAGTACTGATAGGGCAAAGCAAAAGCCTTATCGCAGGCTTCACGCCCCTCAGAAGTCCCTGGACCTAGAGTTCCTTGAGTCAAAGGCTTCATTGGGGACATCATGGATGCCAATGGGTAGCGGGTGTGTTTTTTCCCTTTGCTATCCATAGAGGTCATACCGCCCGTCCTGACATAGAACCAATATTGCATCCAGTCTTTACTCCACTTGTTCTTCTGAGCAAAAGAAATCTCCAACTTCTCCCCTTTCTGATTCCTCTTGGGCATGAAAGCGCAGCTCCCATACTGAGCTATCAACTGGCCTTCGCCAACCCATTTAGGCTAGCGCTGGAGCTCAGAGTACTCACAGAAAGTACCAATGTTGGGCTCCGCACCATAAGATAAGCAGGCCTAATAGAACTTACTTAAAGTAACAATACCGTTGGGAGTGAGATGATGCAGTTGTACCTCGAACGCTTCTAGGACTTGTCGAAGGAAGCGCGCTGCTGGAAAGCAAAGGCCGCAAAGGAAAAAGTCCTTGAAAACCACAGCATCAGCGGCTTGCGGCATAGGAATTGTCTCCCCCTGTGGAGGCTTCACCTTAGCCTCACCAAAGCAGCCCAACTGCCACAACTCCTCGATCATGTCCTTCATCATGAGCGAAGGTCCAAAATCCCACGTCCTGGATGGGCCAGCCATATCTCCTGCCTCCTCAGCGGTTATCAAATCAGCGACGGAGGCCTCCACTCCAGAAAGATCTTCCTCAAGCCCCAATGCCTCCACACTGACAATCATACACTCCTCAAAGCACGCAGACCACCCACTCGCTCTAACGCCGAGAAGACAGCGATACGGACCGAAGAAAGTAGCCCGGCGGGGAGGAGGACTAACAGGCAAAGCCACTTCAAGATCAAGCAACAGCAATAGGAAGCGAAGTCAAGCGACAACTAAGCGAAGGTTAAGCAAAGAAGAAAGAACCTAGAAAGCGATTGTAGCAAAATCGATGGCTCAGAAGGGGACGGGGAAGCCTTCACCTACCGCCCCTTATATAGCCCCCGCCCCGTCGCTTCAAATTCCAGAGCCAACGGTCGCGGCTGTTTGGCAGCGCATCGGTTGCGGAGCCACCGCAACCAATAAAATAGTGACACGTCAACAAGGCAACGGTCTGATCCGGGTGGCCCAGGGGGGAAGGAGGGGAAGCATCCACATACGCAAAAGCCTCCGTGCCTCAGAACCCAAAAACCTAATTATGAGGACAAGGTCCGATAGCATCAGACCATGCCCTCATAGGGGGGAACTGTTGGGACACGGTTACGAGCCACGGAGGCTAGAGTTCATGATGACGGTAACGAACTAACAACTTTCCTTGTTTTATGGGCGACTTGCAGGGAAAGGATAAGGAGACCTCCGCTCGGCCGGTCGCTCCAGGCGAAGGCCAAGAGGCTGGGCGAAGGCATTGAAGGAGACCTCCACTCGGTCGGTCGCTCCGGGTGAAGGCTCCACCAACATAGGCGAAGGTCACGGTCCGAGCGACGATAGCGGAGGTCCTGGCGAAGGCACCCCGGGTAGAGGACCCGGAACTTAGGGGAGCTCTGGCTCGGCGGTAGCACTGGCCCATGGGATGACGATGGGCCATCGACAATGACTCGACACGAAAGGGCGGTTGAAGAAGAAGGCACCCATAGTACCCCTAGCGGCTTGTATTGGCATAGGGATATTCCAAGAATGTACCGTAACCGACAAGGGTAGAATTATAAAGAGTAGCCTTAGTAAACAGTGCCCTATAAAAGAGGGACTCAACCTCTGTACAAATAGAGGTAGTTGGACACATTTATGAAACCCTAATCATGCTTGGACCCACCTTTCACTTCTCATACCTTCGCCCAGGGCTCTAGGCTGGGCGAAGGCCTTTGTTGTCCTTCCTTGTCCCATCTGCTGGAAATCCCTTTTTCCAAATGAGCGGCCAATTGTTAGATTTCATGTTAGTTCTCTGTTTGTTTGTAACTTCTAAAGTTCGCCATCTAAGATTCTAAGTTGTCAGACCTCTGCCCATGCGTGGTTGGTTTCTACACATCTCATGTTCACCAAGCAAATCCTTTCGACCATACGCAAGTCAACTAAGCAAGGGTACGACTACGACCCTGCACAGTGTATATACCCACTAGCTGTTGATACCGGCCACATGCATACGTCTACCTAATATACTGTCTTTTAAGAATTGATTGATCCAGGTGCACGCAGCGAACGAAAAGAGATGGATTATTCTTTTCTGACACAAGAGAACATCTTTGACTCCGGCTCCAAGCTTCAACACGCTTCAATCGTGCCTGTGAGATATCCAGGCACTGCCGCTGCATGCTTATCGTATTCAGCACTTTGGTTTAATTTTTTCCCCTTTTAACGACAAGTTGATGAGCTGTACCCAAACATGCCGACTTGCTGAGATAAACAAACATTCAGAAGCCATGCGTTTAGAAGCCTCGTGATGGTATAAAATACTACCCTGTTCTAAAAAGAATGTAATTGTAGGTGAATTCTCAATTAAAGTGTTCAAGGTTTGACCAAGTATACATGTAAAAATCTTTTTTTTACAAAATACATGTAAAAATCTTAACGTTGTTGACACCAAATAAATATATTATAAAATATATCTCATGACAAATCTAGTACTCCCTATATTCCAAACAATAAGTCATTACAACTTTCTTAGCGAGTGAAAGCAACTCAAGTTTGACCAATTATATAATAAAATAAAAATATTTATGATACCAAATAAGTATCTTTAGATTCTTTATTAATTATATTTTTATAGTATACCTATTTGATATCATAAATCTTTATAATTCTCGATCTTTGTAGTTTTGGTCAAACTTGAAATGTTTTGACTCTCCAAGAAAGTTGAAATAACTTATAACTTGAAAGTTATATAATTTGCAATAACTTGAAATTGCACTCGGGTGAAAGAGTTTATGACATTTGCAATATAATATTGTCAAGCTACCGGCAACTCAATTATTGTACGTGCTTCGACGGGCTTGCACTCTAAGATGGGTCTTATGCATTGTATATCCGTGCCCCGTTAGTTGTAGAGGCCATAGAAAGCGTATTTCCATAACACACATCATCATCACCTTTATTTCTAAGCACACTGAAGTACCGACATTAGGTAGATGCAAACATAGGAACAAGCTAACCTTATCCTCAATGGATGTATCGTTATAGGTGTTATGTCCACGACACGAATGATTGTTGTATACTTGTATAGATGTGCATAAACCTAAAACTTTGTCTTTGTTATGCATCCCACCTGGTTGAGCTTGTTATTATCAACAGTTAAGCAAGCCAATTTTGGTATATGTATGCACCTTGCAATTCCAACAAAAGCAAGTCGACTTTGTTCTGCATATATACCTCTGTATAAACGTCGTACAAGTAGCTTCCCTTTTTTTCCCTTCAACTCTGAGATGCTGTGGTGTACAGATGCATCTACTAGTTGTGGAATCGATGAACAAGAGCTTGTGCTGTAAATCGATGACGACGCAGGCTGCGGACGTCCTGCTTTTTCAAGAATCCAGCTGCAGCGAACATATCAGCAATCGCCCATGTTTGACTTCCGTTCCAATCTCATACACGCTCCGCACAGCCTCCATATGCATCATCTAGGCAAGCTTTTAGTTTCAAACCCCTTTGATTGGATTAGCACGCAGTACGAATACCCCTTTGCTGTGGTGCTGTTGTGGCGACGATGACGGCGTGGTCAACTGTTGGGACTGTGGTAGTGGTTGGATCTGCTGGCGTGGAGGGAGGAGGGAGGGTAAGGGAGGGGAGGGGGCCGCCAACGCCGGGCTGGAGGCCGGCCTGGGGGGGGCGGCCGAGAGTGTCGCCCAGGCTGGTTAGTGAGTCCCTCACCACCCAGACCCAGTCACCCCGTTTTGTGATTCTGTTGAGACTGTCTCTCATCTTTTTTCCAATGTCCTGTTGCTAAGGTCATCTGGGTTGTAACTGCCAAATGCTTTGGTGCCTCTAATGTTCCTATGAATCTTGATCAATGTTGGCAGTGGTGTGAGAAATGGTTCCCGTTTGGAAAGAAATTTCGTCCTTGGGAGGTGGCAGCCATTTGCTGGGCGATATGGAAGGGTAGAAACAAAGCAGTCTTTGAAGGAAAAGTGATAAAGAATCCACGGGAAATAATATACCATGCCTGTACGCTCATGATTTATTGGTCAGGTTTGTACGTAGAACTTGGTAGAGATCAGCTGGTGGAGGGCGCCAACACAATGCTGAGGGTCGCCAAGGAAATTCTTTCGGCCCAAACCACAAGACAGGTGAATCAATTACTGCTGACAAGTACTGGGGGTGATAACTCAGGAGGCAAAAACCAGATGGTTCTTGGCTGTTGTTGGCCTTTTTTGTGTTTGGGTGCTCTTCGCTAGTAGTTTATCCCGTCTTTGGTCTAGCTATAACTGGGAACGCCCATGCTGGTTAAGTTCGTTTTGTTAAGGTTCTGTTCAGGGTTTTTTTGTAGGCTGAAGTCTAGAAGTTTAGCCAAATGTTTCTACTGAGCTGCGCTCAGTCTTTTTGGTTGTCGTCTGATACTGCCTGGGCTGTCTTTTCGGTTTCTTATCTGTAATCTTCTGAATGTTGTGTATTTCCGTTATCTCTGATGGAAATGGGGTTTCCCGCGTGGAAAAAAAAATCAGCTACCTTCCACGACATGCCGACTAGTTGCCCAGATAAACAAACGTTCACAAGGCACCCGTCGAGAAACCCTATCAAGCGGCATTCAAGCTATAAATAGGGGTGGCAAGCAACAGCACCTCACCACTCAGCTTCTTCTCACTTGAGATACAGTTAAGTTTGTGAGATTAGACGGTGGACAGAGCAAGCGCGATGGCGAGCAAGGTGGCTGCACTGCTCTCATGTGCATTCTTGCTCCTAGGAGCGGCATGCCAAGCAGCTGCTGGTTACTACAGTCCTCCGAGTCCTGCTTCGTGCGGGCTCAAGGTGGGGTACTACCACCACAAGTGCCCGCCCGCCGAGGCCATCGTCAAGAGTGTCGTCGGTGCCGCCGTCCGGCAGAACCCCGGCATCGGCGCCGGCCTCATTCGCATGCTCTTCCACGACTGCTTCGTCGAGGTACATTAGTCATCTTCAGTTCTATTTCTACACGCACTGCTCCTGCATGAGATGACTTGCACGCACTGACGCCACGCCACGCGCGCCATGACCAATGCAACGCCATGATATGATACGCAGGGCTGCGACGCCTCCGTCCTCCTGGACCCGACGCCGGCCAACCCGCAGCCAGAGAAGCTCGGCCCGCCCAACAACCCCAGCCTCCGGGGCTTCGAGGTCATCGACGCCGCCAAGGCCGCGGTCGAGCGGGCGTGCCCAGGCGTCGTCTCCTGTGCGGACATCGTCGCCTTCGCCGCCCGCGACGCCTCCTTCTTCCTCGGTGGCCGCGGGGTCGACTTCGACATGCCCGCCGGCCGCCTCGACGGCCGCGTCTCCAATGCCTCGCGCACCCTCGACTTCCTCCCGCCGCCGACCTTCAACCTCTCCGAGCTCGTCCAGAGCTTCGCCGCCAAGGGCCTCGCCGTCGAGGACATGGTCGTGCTCTCGGGCGCGCACACCGTCGGCCGGTCCCACTGCTCGTCCTTCGTTCCCGACCGCCTCGCCGTTCCGTCGGACATCAGCCCCTCCTTCGCCGCGTCTCTGAGGGGCCAGTGCCCGGCGAGCCCCAGCTCCGGCAACGACCTCACCGTCGTGCAGGACGTCGTGACGCCCGACAAGCTGGACAACCAGTACTACAAGAACGTGCAGGCGCACAGAGTTCTCTTCACGTCGGACGCCTCACTCCTCGCGACGCCGGCGACGGCGAAGCTGGTGTCTGACAACGCCAACATCCCTGGGTGGTGGGAGGACAGGTTCAAGGCGGCCATGGTGAAGATGGCCAGTGTCCAGGTGAAGACCGGCGACAGCGGGGAGATCAGGAGGAACTGCCGGGTCCTCAACTAGCTGTTCTGATAATGTGCAGCAATCTTGATTCCAGTTTATTATTCTACGTTGGCACGTTGCTATTGCATTGTCATTGTTTTGTTTCATTATGTCAACTTCATTTTGTATTTGGTTGCAAATTTGGTATTGGTTGATAATAATAAAGCCATATTCGCTCTCAACTCTGGAATTTTGTTTCCATAACATTAGAATTTACGTTATGTGGGGACCCAGTGTAAGATGGGAAAATACGTGGTGGAATGAAAACTAATTTTAGAAATGCACTTGTAACTTGAAAAATATTTAAAACTTAGTACATATGTTTTGCATCTATATAAGTTGTAAAAGTTGGGATACAAACTTACTTTTTAAAAGTTCATACAAAAATGACAACTTTCATTTGTATATGCACTAAAAAAATCCTTCCGAATAGATCAGAATGCTCCTTCCCATCCTGAGTATATCGAGTTTAAAGTTTCATGTAATATCAAAAACTTTCTTAAACTTGCTTATTTCTCTTCTTAATTGAATGAACAGTTTTCCAGCTGACTTTTCAAAATAACAGAATAAAAAATTATATATGAATAGTGCAATGGAGAGTGGACTCTTTGATATGACCTAATGAATAATCTTTATCAGGTCAAGACCCTAACTTACCAGGAGAAAAAAATAGAAGCCTGATGCTGACCTTTAGGTACACTCCACCGTGGTATGCTCCCGGCCACCAAGTATCTCTTGATCCCAGTATTGAATTTACCAGAGACGGTTTCCACCCACCAAAGGCTAGTGTCATGAGTCGGGAAATCTCACCACCACAACCAGGCTCTTTCGGTCATCTTGCCACCGCGAACACACCGATATGACGCCGCACCACATGGAGATAGGAGGTTCACTTCCTGTAAGGCTTCCACACCTTCACCGGAAAGTGATGATGACCTCAAGCGCTTTAGTTTGCTACGATAAAAAGCAACACAGCCTTAACTGACAAATTAAAGCTCTCTCAAGCTATAAGGTCTAACACTCATATAAAGATGAACTATATAAAGTATATATCCTAGCTTTGGATGTGATCTTGATGTTCTTGGGAGGGTGGATGGAGTGTAGAAACACACTTGTTCTAAATTATCTCAGCCTTGGTGCAATCCAGCCCACACGAACAAAGTGAGGGGACTAGATATGAGGAATCAGCCAGCGCAACGCCAATATAAGGGAGAATTCTGTATTTGGCACTGAAACAAATCACTCCCCTGTATTTAGCACTAAAAATTTTAAACTTCCTTATCTAGCATCAACTTGAAAATTCCTTTCGTATATGGCACTTCCGTCCATTTTGGCCATCCATCTGTTTGTTGACTTCCTTGACCATGTCAAATTTTTTTATAAGTACCAAAATACCCCTCTGTTTAATTTGGTCGCACCCACTTGCTCGGTAGTCGCTACGGGCGAAACTCGCACGCTCGCTCCCCTTCTTCCCCCATCAGTCTTCTCTTCCTGTGAAAAAAACAAAACCCTAGATGGAAGCCGGAGGAGATGAGGATGGGGCGGAGGAGCTGTCCGCCGCCGGCGCCCAGGAAATCACGGCGCCCTTCCTTCAGCCAGAGGCACCGGTCCCTCAGCCGAGGTCTCCCCATGGTGGCAGATCGACGCGCGGGTCCAGCAGGGGTCGCGGCAGCGGGGTGGGCCAAGCTTCCAGCAAGGGACGCGGCGGCGGGGTAGGCTCGTCGGCCGGCGCTGGCCCCATCTCGCGGGGCGGGGTGGCCTCGCCCGCCGGGGTACCCGCTAGTATATACCCTCAGGCCTCGGCCGCTCCGCCCCAGCCCGGGCAGCGCACCTACCACTGCCATCGCCCCTCCTTCGGCCCCGCCACCGGCAGTGGCGCGTTGTCGGCCGCCGTTCGCTCGACTCCGACCTTCAGGGCCTCCCGCATGCATCGCTCACTGCCTCCGCTCAGCGCCGCGCTCCTGCCCCCACCCGACGCGGAAGCCCCAACATCGGCGAGGCTCTACCTCCTTCGAATCAATCCGTTGGCGGCGCCGGCGAGCGCATGATTCGCAGCAAGGTACGCTCGCTCCTCGCCTTTTCTCGATTCCTCTTCCTCTTCAGCCTCCCCCTGCACAGAAGGCACGTAGAAGGTACGCATGGATATGGAGGTCTTGTTGTTTCCGGTTGCTACACATTTCCTTCTTTGAGGCAAGTTCTTCAGCTACGGTTCCAGATCGATTTTGTTCTACCTTTGTGTGTTCCATTACTCCCTACTTTTTGTTTGTTATTAAATTTTTAAGCTGCTTCTCAATTTGCTTACACCAATTGTCTGATCGTGCTTGGCTTTGAATGAATCTAGAGTTGCATACCATGTGCTCGATGGATTGCCCCTATGAGATATGGTCAGCACCAATTATTTTGCTAACCTATGTTTCAACTGCAAAGGTACCTGCATTGTGTAGTCTTACAAATGTAGGCTCCAATTACTCGATGATTTAATTTACAGATGCTCTTCTACCTATGGATATGCTGCCTGAATATTTTCAGGGATTGTAGGCGGCTTCTGATAAGCATGGTACAAATCTTCTATCTTCCTCCATGTATTTTTTTGGAATGGTAAACATGATTGATTGAAATTATGTGCATTTCACCTGATGGAATGAATCCCTAAGAAATTATATGCCTACTGCATATCCAGTCCTCCAAGTAATAAACTGCTCTTCTGTATATACTCATGGTCTCTTTCCTGGCAGTTTCTCTCCTCAATCCATCGGTATGCTGAACCTGAGGTTACTAGACTCCCTAATGCAGATGTGTGTTCATGACAACCATTCCTTCACCTCCTTAAAATATTAATGATAGCCCTTTAATCACTTGCTAAGACTTGAGAAACCATCTCAGTGCTGAGTGCCACTAAAGAGAAGGTGAACTGGAAGACTTGAGAAACCATCTCATTGCTGAGTGCCACTAAAGCGAAGATGAACTGGAGGCTTACATGCCGACACATAAGAGTGTTATGCTGGATTCCTTATGGAAGCTTAATGTTGCTGATATAGAGGCGACCCTGTCACATGTTCTAAAATGGTCTGTTTTCATATCGTGTCTATATTTCCAGGTTTTCCAAAAGATATCTTACATCTAATATTTCGTCTTTGTTAGTCTGACACTGGTTTTAATTGTCTTTATCAATATCAGTTGCTTCAAGACAGCAGTGTCAGGAAAGACGAACTGCGAGCCCGAGCTAAAGGATTGAAATTTTTTGACAAAATATTGCAGGTACCGTTCTCCATATATTTTTCTATGCATTTTTTAAGTTAACCAGTGTATTCCATGATCTAATTATGCCTACGCACGCACCAGCAACTGACAAGAGATATTCATCCACAAGACGTAGCCTGACAAGAGATTGGGATGGATTTCATTACCTCCTGATTTCTCTGTTGTCAAAAGGAACATGTATCAAGTTCTTTGTTCTAACTTTCAAATGGAATTAAATTGTCTAATTCTATGTTTAAATTGTTTCAGCACGTGGATTGACGGCAAAAGATGAGTGCCATAGGATTAGTGGAGTTGGATCAAACATGTACTGCCCCTTCAAATATGGTAGTTCTTCCTGTTGTTGTTACATCTAAATTCAACTTCGATATATGTACATGTGCAGGTCAAGAAGCGGCTCCAATCAACCCGAGCCAATTTCCACCGAGTTTCATTCTCCAACAAAGGAGAAGGCTAAAAGGACCAAGAAACAGCTTGCTTCAAACCTGAAAAAATTCCTATGCTGCCACTTGACAGCCCTACAATGGGCACCAAAAACAAAACAGCTAAGCTTGCTAGTCCTGCAAATAGCACAAGAAGCAAGAGAAGGTTGAGCTTGTGATTCTCTATGTAGATGTGCCTGGCAACGTGTAAGGCATATGCTCTATAAACTATAATGTAGTGCAACTGATGTGTGTATGATGAACCTGCTATTCTGTAATGTGAACTTAGACCCCCCCTATGTATGAACCTTCATGTGTTTATGTTTATGAACCTGGTAATGTATGCATATTTATGAACCTGGACATGTGAACTTAGACCCCTATTGTATGGATTTGTTGAGCTAATGTGAGGTGTGCAAGGTGTTTACATTTTTTTTGTTTTTTAAGTATGCTGACAATGTGGTCAGATTTGTGAAGCTTGTACATCAAATTTATTGATTATTATTGCCACTCTTCAATTATTAAAATGCTATGTTTCATTCACAAGTATATTTGTGATATTTGTGCTTTCCTTATTTGACATTATGTCCATTTATTCTTTTTCTATCTGACACTACATGTTGTTGGTACATAGAATGGCATATATGTCATTTTAGGTGGCACTTGACACCGTTACTGCATCAAATGGACGGAAGTGCCATATACAGAAGGAATTTTCAAGTTGATGCTAGATAAGGAAGTTCAAAATATCCAGTGACAAATACGGAAGAGTGATTTGTTTCAGTGCCAAATACAAAATTCTCTCATATATGAATTAGTATAGCAAATGGTGGCCAAAGGATCATCCAATCATGGTTGCGTATATCACCTTTTTCCAATGGCTAGTCGCCTCTTCACCCTCTATACAAGTGTTACTCTTGGCTTATTTGGTGCTACTCTTTGCACCTCATTGTTGCCAGCACTTATAGGGAGACTAGTAAAGCATTTGGGGAGCACCCAAGCCAACTGAGATTTTGGTGTTAGCATTGAGCGCTATCTGTTCTCTGTTGCGTTTTCTTGAGTTGAAGCTTGATGATCTATTACTCTTGGTTATTGTCATCACCCAGGTCAATGAAGCACTTGGTGACCTTTCTCCATGGATCTATTGTAAGGAGTCTCTAGAAGTTGTTCATGGTCTTGAAACCCACCATGTTGGAGTGGTGAACGAGTATTGATTAGTGGAGAGGATCGAGCTAAGCCGAGTCTTGGTTACTCTTGGTTCTTCAACATGGAGTAGGAGATTGTGGCAACAACCTAAGACCATGGGGGGAAAATATGGTTGTCTCTTTGCCTTGCTTTTCATTTGCTCTACTTCTCTTGATTGCAAGTTTCTTGTGTGACAACCAGGATTCGTGTTAGTGTGCTTAGCATAGGATTCATACTTACTTATATAAGGACCTTACTCTTAGTGTGATCCTTGCTAAAGACATGATTATTGTGTTGGTCCTAAGGACACATTAGAATTGCTTTTGTGGAAGAACTTAGGAGTCAAAGTGATAAAGGGGGTTTAGAGTTTGCAGAGACTAAGTTGCATAATTTTTTTAGAGCCCAATTCGACCTCCAACCTCTTGTGTCATTCAGTCCTTACTCCATCGTCATGTCATCCCTGTGGCACTCTTTGCCTCCTCGTCATGCATTCCGTCATTCACAGAAGTTTGCCACCACTGCACATCCACTCATTGGTCGCATCATGATATGTCCAAGAAGATGCCCATGCTCATCGCCACCTCCTCCTATCAACACCGTCCACCTGACTTGTACATGCACCTATCATCATGCTCCTCACACGCTTGCCTCATCAGAGCGGGTAGGCAAGAGCATACGAATGAACCACCGGCAACGGATCTATTCGATTCAGAGAGGGGATATGAGGGACAACTAGCTAGAGGGTGCAGACGACAGGATGGACTCCCATGTCAGAGAAACATAGACGATGTACGGGAAGAATCTGTCATGTTTTGA